TATATATATATATATATATATATATATATATATATATATATATATATATATATATATATATATATATATATATATATATATATATATATATATGTATATGCCTGCTTATTTGTTTGTTTGTTCAATTATCTCACATCTATGGCACAACATCAGACTGCAAACTGCAAACAAGCTTAAACAGAAAACTTGTGTAAGTCAACAAACTAACCGAATGACTCTTCTTTCTTAGCGAAACCGTTGCTCCCAGCAGCCGCTGATAATGGACTAACTGCTGAAGCATTCGTTAACAGTGGTGGGAGTTCTGCCACCCGCAGTTGTGGGACTACTGTCGGAAATATATCATATTCTGGCGGCATTGGCTCAATGAGAACAGGTAGAGGATGTAATTGCGCATGATTTTTAGGAGCATGAAATCCATTTTTCGCAAGCGCGTATGTACATTGTAAACTAGTAGGATAAATACGATCAGCTGCCATGTTTTTCGAATTTGAAAAACTCCTAAGAATTGAAAAAACTTAACTATTGGCTGCTGTAATGTTTATTTTCGTTCGAAGTAATTCAATTATCAGTTAACTTGCCGAGAACATGTTTTATAAGTTTGATTGCTTTTACGACATACATTGGGACGTACACAATTAGTGGTGGAAACGAATTTGTCCACGCTCCTAAAAATATTGCAAACCTTAACATAAAAAAAATGTCTAACAATTAAACACGAAATTATGAAAATAATGATAAAGACTGTTAGTGTAATTTAGGTAAGTTCTTCAAGTGGTAGGAGTTGTATAAATTCTCGATTTTCTTAACTTCTGATAAAACAGTCTGGCGAAAGAAAATTAAATACTACCTTGTCTGCATGAATTTTACATAAGTTTTTATTATAAATAATAAGGAATCGAACAAATCTACTGCCAATATCCAATCTGGTACTTCTGAAATAAAGTCACAAAATCTTTTTAAAAAATCTGATACTGAAGCTGCAATGTGTAAGCCGACGCCAGATAAAAAAGAAAAAAAATTCAGCCACGTTTGTTGTGTTTCCTACATTTGATACATTCATTTATTTATCTGATTTCGAAATTTACCACTTAAGTAATCAAAATTAGCGAAACGTTCGAAATGTTCGAATGTTGGAATAAGCATATCGCGCTCAGAACTTTGTTCTGTTGCTGCTTTCAAGTCATTGATTTGTTGTTCGAAATCTTGCGCCGATTGGAGCTTAAAAACAACAAAATAAATTTAGTTCAAATAAGAATTAATGGTGAAGAATTATATGCTAGTCTCTTAGCAGTGCGACCCTTCGAAGTAAGAAGACCGTCAACGTCAATAGCTTCTTCTGCAAAACAGTTGAGAAGGTCCTTCTCCATAAAACCAGGAATTATCAAAAGTACTGATCAAAAGAATGCTTTATTTGCAACTCTCTCAATCTAAGTCTGATCTTTGCTTCTGCCAAAATTTCACCTATAAAATAATTTCTGAAACCACAATTTACTTTGTCAATAATGCTTTGCATATGAGATCTATGATGCTGATCGCCATACAGTAAAGCCGACCATTGATCTGGTGATATACGTAAACCTTGCTCGAATGCTACTTGTACGATTTGTGCATCATGCTCGCGACGCAGTGCGCCGTAATCACGAAACTGCGTTTTCAACTGCATCAATGATGATTCACCTTCACGTTTCAATACCTATCAAAGAAGTCAGTGCACAAATTTACTGCAAGATATACTTTTAAAAATCGGAAGTAAACAACTAAAAGGGGTACACCAGGTAGCTCCCTGTTCACGCTTTGAATAGTCTAAATAGAAGAGTAGCATATAAAATACTAAATAAAAAGTCAAATTTTAACCATAAGTTTGAAAATTCAACACTTAAATATGCACATATATGAACAAATTATTTCTAAATAGCTTACATTAAAGCAACTAGCTCGATAAAGCAACTGCACAACATGACCAACACACGTTTTCGAGGCTTGCGGATAATCTTGCCGTAATGTTTGCACAATATATAACACCAATGTTTTACGAGACATCAATGCACCATCCGAAAGTATCAATAAAATGAGACTCAGAACTTCTTCTTGCATTGCTCAAAATAAAATTTTGTAGATGAAGATAACATGATATGATTATTCATAAAATTTGACGTGATTTTAAATTATCAATTAATTGCGCTCTTAAGCTTATCGTTACCCTGCAGATTTGTATTATTTACCTCCTTCCTTTTGAAGCAATCTATCTTCCTCTAATTTATATTTTGAACATCAGACTGTCAAACTAAAGCTTTTTACTTTGAAATCATTCATAAGAACAATATCAATCGAAAGAAGAACCGCTCACAGGAAGATATCTACAGCTATCTTAGCATATTATTTCTCAACTCAATCTAATCTCCACAACCTATTATGACTTCAAAGTTATGTCAGCTTTTTAGAATTATTCATCTATATGAGAATGAAAATATTATAAAATCGCCAAGCTGCGAGTTATCACCAATAAGGACTCTTCTAATTTATTTAGTAAGAAAGGTTAAAAATGAAATTCTGGAAGCTGTAATAGTTTTTAGCAATCAATCATTGTGAATATTCTTTTCCTGACTAGCACCTATTATTTGAATTTCAAATTAGAAATAGGTTACCTGGACCTAAGAACTGGCATCCTCTAGAACGAACAGCAGACCAAAGAACTGTTGATATGTTAGAATTATCTTGATGATAAACGATCAATTCTGAAAGAGCACGTTCTGCTAAAGCACGTGCTGTTTTAAGTGCCCTTTGTAGACCCTTATGTTCCATTAACTGATAACACAATAAGGATATTAATTTGCGTTGCATCGGTCTACTTAATTCATCACTCCAAACACTTCCTCCTGAAAATGGAACGAAATTGGGAAGGACATCCCATCATTTTGAAAAATTCTTGCAAAAATGTAAATATCGAAGTTAAATTTGAAGAGAAGGAGAGAAAAGTAATGAAAAAAGTCTTTTTTTGAACAGAAGTCCGATAGCCTTGCTTCAGAAGTTCTTTCCTTTCAAAAGTTCCCAACATCGCTAAAATACCACATTGTAAAAAGATTACCAAATAAGCATTCGACGGGATGTAAATAAGAGGCTAGTTCAACGAGGGTTGCCTCAATGTGTCGATATTCTTTGGAGAGTTCTTGATAAATTCCCGGTTCATTGTTGATAAATTCTGAGAGGACTGAGAGCAGAGCAAGATTCGGAGGTAATTTTTCGGAAGGAAGGGAAATCAATGCCTGGAAAAATAAAAAGGAATATCTCGTAAATACTAATTAGATGATAGTCTGAAGGATAAATCTGCAGTATCAAATAACTGTTAATTAATTCATGAACACTGTTAATTTAATGACTAATAATTTATCCATAAGTAAAAGACTCTAGGCAAAGTGTTTACTCCTAATTTCCATCAAACATTTAAGGATGATATAATTATTATAATCAAAAATCATTTAGCTCTCGAATATCCTCTAATAGTTCCTAATATATTGAACGGTTGATTTTAAATCTGCTTAGAGGGAATTTCCCAACGTACCTGATCCAAAGGACAGCTTTTTGTACTAAGCTCCTTGAGGCAATTATGGCATATTGTATGACCACAAGCAAGATTTATTGGCAGTTTTTTGGAACTAAAAAGCTGAAATATATTTTCATGAAACAAAGAATTCCGAGTAGCTTATTCAGATTATAATTATAATGACGAAAGTCCCATGGGTATAAAGTGAACATATTTATTTCCAATTCAATTTAGATAAGGATGAAAACGGAAAAGAGAAAATTCACCTCTGAACATATACGACAGCAAAGTACACTGGACCACAAAGCGCTCTGTCCCGCAGGGGCCATTTAATGAATTCGGCCAGCAAATTATCAATACTATACTACATCAATTTCTCCACTGAAATTGAAGGTCCATTACTTAAGTACCTTCGCTCGAAATGTTGGCAGTGAGTTAACTGAAAATTCTGGCAAGAAAAGTAGTGCAAAA